CGTGCTTCAGGGATGCCCATGTCTTCTAGTGATGACACCATACTGCTCTCTGAGGATCTCTGCTAAGTGATGGTCTCTGCTAGGCATGTTGTCTCTACAAGTTTTTCTGCCTAATAGCCTCTAGTGATTAATTATTGACAATGCTCAACTGGTCCCCCGGTGAATGCTGGCCACTGCCAGGCACAGATCCGCTGGGCATTGGGTTGTGGAGCCCCTTTTTGCTTCCATGTTCTTGCTTCAGCTGAGGCGCAACCTTTCCCCTTAAGAGTTAGAGTGGACCCTACAAAGTCAGAGCTTTAGCTCTTTTGGGGAAAGCAACACTCTTACACACCCATTTGTTGGATGAGGGAGAAAAAACCTTCAGCAGTTTTTCTTCCCTTTCCCTTAGGGAGCCTGTTGTCAGAGCCTTTGCTAAAATGAGTGTCTCCTTCCCAAAAGGATTCTTCAAATCTTAAAAACACAGTACAGTTTCAGCTAACTAGTGCCCACAGGCTTAAATCTATTTTTAACCTCCATTGCCTGCTTACTAAAGGCATGGCCTCCCATCAGAAGCTTTAAGGGTCAGAAAATCCTTGTTTAATTGCCTGGAGGGGATCTTGTCCTCTCATACCCATTACACAGGGCTGCCAAAGAAATAATTTGGGTTCCTCAGGTGTGGAAGTGAGGGGTGAGGTTAAATCCTGCACATCAGAAAAGACCCATCCCCTGTAACCACCCATTCTTCAAGCCCAGATGGGACTACCTCTCAGTCTTAGATACGGGAGATAGAGACAAGGGAACCACATGGCCCCATGAGAAGAGAAAATCACATGGCCTGAAAATCGTAACAGCAGAGTGGTATGAGTCCCTGAACTTTTAGATGTGGGAAGAAGTATTGGTAGTTCTGGGACTCAACATTATAGAGAGGAGAGAGGAATGCCTGGGAATGCCTGAAGGATGCAAGAATCCTGGATTGAAGAGAAGCAAGTAGACCGAGTTATCATGTGGAGGAACAAACATGGACCTTCTCTATTACTGTGGATCATTCAGATGGTGCAGTTCTGATGGGAATGGGGGTGTCCTTCTTTTTTTTAGTAATTTATTTTGATTTATCAACAATCACTTCTGTAAGCTTTTGAGTCTTAAATTTTTCTCCTCCTCCCTCCTCACCTCTCTCCTCAACACAGCACGCAATCTGACATAGGCTATACATACACATTCCTATTAAACATATTTTCACATTAGTGATGTTGTAAGTAAGAATTAGAACAAATAGAAGGAACCACCAGAAAGAGGAAACAAAACACAATAGAAGGAAAAAAAAGAAAATAGCATGCTTTGATCTGCATTCAAACTCCATAGTTCTTTCTCTGGATGTGGATAGCATTTTCCATCATGAGGCCTTTGGAGAAGTCTTAGATCCTTGCATTGCTGAGAAGGGCTAAGTCTATCAATAGTCATGGAACGACGTGGCTGTTACCGTGCACAACGTTCTCCTGGTTCTGCTCACTTCACTCAGCATCAGTCCATGCAAGTCTTTCCAGATTTTTCTGAAGTCTGCCTGCTCATCATTCCTTACAGCACAATAGTATTCCATTACATTCGTATACCACAACTTGTTCAGCCATTCCCCAATTGATAGGCATCCTCTCAATTTCCAATTCTTTGCCACCACAAAAAGAGCTGCTATAAATATTTTTGTACATATGGGTCCTTTTCCCATTTGTATGATCTCTTTGGGATACAGCCCTAGAAGTGCTATTACTGAGTCAAAGGGTATGCACAGTTTTTTTAGGCAATTGAGGTTAAGTGACTTGCCCAGGGTCACACAGCCAGTAAGTGTCAAGTGTTTGGTCTGAGGCCAGATTTGAACTCAGGTCCTCCTGACTTCAGGGCCGGTGCTCTACCTACTGCAGCCCAGCCACTTAGCTGCGCCAAGGTATGCACATTTTTATAGTCCTTTGGGCATAGTTCCAAATTGCTCTCCAAAATGGTTGGATCACCACAACTCCACCAACAATGCATTAGTGTTCCCATTTTCCCAAATCTTCCCCAACATTTATCATTTCCCTGTTTTTTCATGTTGGCCAGTCTGATAGGTGTGATATGGTACCTCAGAGTTCTTTTGATATGCATTTCTCTAATTAATAGTGATTTAGAGCATTTTTTCATATGACTATAAATGGCTTTAATTTCTTCATCTGAGAACTGCCTGTTCATATCCTTTGACCATTTATCAATTGGGAAATGACTTGTATTCTAATAAATTTGACTTAATTCTCTATACATTTTAGAAATGAGGCCCTTATCAGAGAGACTGGTTGTAAAAATTCTTTCCCAATTTTTTACTTTCCTTCTAATCTTGGTTGCATTGGCTTTGTTTATGCAAAAACTTTTCAATTTAATGTAATCAAAGTTATCCGTTTTGCATTTCGTAATGTTCTCTATCTCCTGTTTGATCATGAATTCTTCTGTTCTCCATAAATCTGATAGGTAAACTATTCCTTGCTCTCCCAGTTTGCTTACAGTATCAGCCTTTATATCTAAATCATGAACCTGGGGATACCCTTAAAACCTCAAGGAGAGCCCCAAGCAGAGTAACACTATGGGTCTGGAGGGCTATGAATCTCTTCTTTAACATTTCCAGCAACAAGGAACCCCCTGTTTTATTAAGGCTACCTGTCCCATTGTTGGATATAGGATCCTAGAGAAGAGAAGGTGAGGGGGGTTCACTGAAAGGTGCTAAGTCCCTTTTAGCAATTCCAGGTTTGTTTTCTTTCTGGGAGAACAAAGTCTGAAGTATAGGTAGTACTACAAATATAGACTAGACTGTATAGATTGGGAGGTGGGAAGCATTGCTGTTGAGGATGGAAAAGGAAGATGTGATTCACCATAGAGGGAAGGAGAATTGTTTTGATTTATAATGGGACTGTTAGTCCCTTAGGTTGTTTCCTATCCTTTCTAAGTGGGATGAAATAAAGGCTGTCTAGAATCTATGATATATAGTGTTGACTCAAGTATTTGCATAGGCGCTGAGGACCCTTTCACCCACATATGTAGAAACCTGAGGCTCCCAGGAGGTATGTATGTATGTTGTATGTTGTCCCTTCATTCTGGAGGTCCAATGACATCACAAGGGTGAATCTCAATGGGAAGGACTGCACGAGCTGAGGAGTAATTTATGAGAAACTACTAGTTCATGTCAGGTTCAGAGATGAGTGTTCTGGGCTCTGTGCTCCATCTGTCTCTCTGCCACTGCAGAAAAGGTTGAGTAGGGTCCCACAAGTTGTATTTGTTTTTTGGATGGCCAAAACATTCATCGCCTGAGGACAAAGTTCCTCCTCACCTCCACCTGCTGGCCTGTTTCAGGGCTGAGTTCAAAGGTCACCTTCTTCTGCAAGAGGACTTTCTTGGTCCATCCTAATGCTAGTGCCTTCTGAGATTTCCTCCCATTTATCTTGTAGGTATATTCTGTGTTCATAGATGTTTTGCATGTTGTCTCTCTCATTAGACTGTAAGCTCCCTGAGGGTAGTGGCTGGTTTTGCCTCTCATTGTAGCCTACTTGGCAAATCATTTAGCATCTCTGGGCCTCCAGACTTGCCTAAGGTCACAGAGGTAGCAAGCGACCATGATCCAGGTTCCAAAACAGGGTTCTCTGCAACCCCACAGTAGGACTAGATCAGGGTGGAGAATCTGAGGCCTTGAGAAACTACAAGCGAGAGCCTTGCATGCAGGTATTAGTTGTCTTAGCCAATTGTTTTTTATGCCTTTTCCTTCTAAATCTTTGTTGCAAGGGATGGCTCACTGGGTGAGGTAGGGGTGGGGTGCTCTATGTAGGTGATGCCAAAAAAAAAAAAATATATATATATATATAAAAACCAGGATTAAAATACTTACATAAAAAGTTCTTCCTTGTATTGAGCCCACCTATGGGCCCTGCTTCTGCTCAGTTACAACACATGACAGCCCTGCAGATGGAAGCCAGTAAGACAGGAAAAGCAGGGAACCCTGGAGGCCAATCTGATTTCCAGAAGTTCCAAGTATACGAATCAGAATCAGAATTTTAGAGCTGGCAAGTGTCTCAGCAGCCAGCTAGCCCAGCCTAGGCAGACTCCCCCTTACCACTGAATGAGGGATCACACAGCCTTTGCTTGTAAACCTCTAGAACACATTCCTAGGCAGCACATTGTTTTTTTTTCCTGACATCAAGCCCCAAATGCCCTCCTTACCATTCTACTCATTGTTTCTCAATAGAGCAGTAGCCAAACAGAATTAGATTTAACTTTTCTCAGTATAACCTTTAAAATACTTGAGGACATTATCATGGGTTCCCCCTACCCTACCCCTCAGAACCTTCTCCATGTTAAACATCCCCAGTTCTACAATCTTGTGGCCCTCCTCAGCCCTCTAGATCTGGTCTGACCCTGAGAGTAAGAGGGTGGTGGTGGCGACGATAATAACAATAACAATACCTAGCATTTATATACACTTTTAGGATGACAAACTGCTTTACAAATTTTGCCTGTTGTCCCTTGACAGTTATGCCTTTCCTAATGCAGGTCAAGACCACATTAACTGTTTTGGTTGCTATATAATACTGTCGACTCATATTAAGCTTGTAGTTTACTAGGAACCCCAGATTTTCTTCAGACAAGCTGCTTTCTAACCATGTCTTGCCCATCTAACACTTATGAAATTGATTGCTTGATCCCAAGCGTAAGACTTTACTTTGACTGCTATTAAATATCATCTTATCCAGTTTAGTTTAAAGGTTTACTGCACCACCAATTCCTTCCCAGGTTATGGGAGTTCCTGGTTTGCTTTGGGGGTGGGGGGAATGACTGATGTTGCATCTTTAGAGGCCAACCTGCACCCACACATTCTAAGAAATACACAGTTATTAGTCACAAGCTTCCAGACACTCAATCTCTTGCATATAATAACCCCATGGTCAGGACCTCACCCCCAGTCCATTCCCTCTTTTCTCCTCCCCCCAAAAAAGCACACGCAGAGAAAGTGATTGGGAGGGATCTGGTTTTCTCTTTATCGCTCAAGGAACTCCCATCATACCAGGGTCCCACAAAAGGCACTTATACGGAGCTATAGCCTACACCAACCCTGTCCAATCTTCCCTGCCCACCACTCTAGCTCCTTGTTTAAGAGGAATAAGAAAAAACTCTGATATGTATTGCCACGCTGACTCCCCCTTGGCACTGGAAGAGGCCAGTGGGCTGACCTTTGGGTCTGTCTTAGAACCAAGGGGATCAGGGTGGGAAGGAGGGGGCACAGTCTCTGGATTTCTTGGTAGCTACCCCCAATGAGCAAGCATAGAGTTAGGGAGAAGGGCTGTATGGCTTAGATTGGCACCAGAAAAAAAAAGTTTGGTCTGGCCACCAAAATTCCTGACATCCTAATCGCCCTGTAAGGAAACTTTGGGACCAGGAGTCTGCTGGGAAAGAGATCACCTCTGGGCAAAAGGGGGATTCCCACATAGTCACCTTAAGCCAGATGCAAAGCAAGAGGCATATGGAGAGTGGACAGATAGAAGCAGGCATTGAATTGCACTGAGTTGAAGGATGAACTGCTCCCTCCACCTCCCAACCCCATTCGGATGCTTGGAAAGGGAGACAGGAGATCCCAGAGGCTCTCAACTCCACCCTACTTGGGGCTGCAACCAAACCTTTCAGCCAAATTAGCCCCCAGGGGAATATGGGGAAACTAAGAGTGCACCAGACTTAGCTCCGGAACTGGTGGGGCCGGAGCAGGAGTGGAGCAGGGGAATGAGGAACTGGAATCCCCAAGTCTCACTTGCTCCGTTCAGAAAATAGCAATTTAAAAAATGTAAAAATCCTTTCCCATCCCACCCTCCTTTACCCCTCAGGTCCTAGGCCCAGAAGAGGGATAAGGAGTGATTTCCCACCCTTTCATCCTCCCTGCCCCTTTCCTCTAAAAATCTATATACACATATACATATTTATATGGCACAATGGGGGGCTGGGAGCCCTGGTCCCCAGCCCCTTTTCCCTCCCCTCCCCTAGACCCCACCTGGGGACTGAAAGGGTTAGTCACACCCAAATGGCTGCTTCATTTGGCCTGGAACATTAATGGTTAAGGCAGATGTGACAGAAAGGAGGGATGTGGGGGAGGAGGGGGGGAAAGGCAGGAAGAGCCAGGGGAAGCTGGGCCTCCCAGGCCTGAGAATGTTACATTACTGAGGGGATTCCCATATTTGCCCCCTAGCCCACCCCCTGCAGACCCTAGGGGTCAGAGGCAATATCTGTGGGTCCTTTTCAGGTCTAGGGCAGTAGGCCCTTCTTTCACATGCCTCAGTGTCCCCATTTGCAATAGTCATCCTCCCCCTTTTAAGAGGCACTAATTGAAAGAGTCCATTTCAGAGGGAAAGTGTGGGAGCTGCCCTAAAGAGATATAGAATCAAATCTCCCCTCCCATCCTTCTCAACTGGACTGTTTTTAGGGAGAAACCCGCTTTGGGGACATCTCCTACATTTTTCCTTACCACCCCCAACCTCTGGGAAGAAAGGCTCTGAACAAGGCACTTTGCATCCAACCTTGCCTACCAAGAAGGGCAGGCTGGGGTGGGGGGGGGAGTGGCAGTTCAGGGGGCTGACGCACTAGGCCACAGGACAAGAACCATTACCCTCTACTCCCCTTCCCCCACCTCCCTAAGAAGGGTCCCCAACATTTGGCAGCAGAGAAACTCAGCAACACTGGAAGAGAGGAAAGAGAACAGAAGGGTAGGGGGTCCCCACCTCCAACCTTAACCCCCCTCCACAGTCCCATTTCTGGGGCAGGAGAGTATCTAAGGCACTGATGCTTGGTACTAAAGGACCCAGCCAGATGTGGAGGGAGTCAGACAGAGGAGGTGAGGCCTGAAGCCTGAGGTCATCTTCGGTCTTGCAGCTCCTTTGTGTCTCTGATCACTCTCATCCACTCCTCCCATTGTGGATCTGGTGAGGCAGGCTGGGCTGGCTGGTGGCAGTGGTAAGGGGATAGAGTCCTTCCCCATGGCACTGAATTTAAAAATTGATTCATTTCTTAAAAAAAAAAAAGGAAGAGGGTGATAGGAAGTTCAAGTGTGAAAAGAGGGGATCAGCTTCCATGATGCTGAGGTGGGGGCTCATGGGTAGCTCTGTGACACAAGCAGGGGGCTTAGGAGCTGGGTGACGGGGAGGGGCACCAGCCCCACCACTAGCTCTCAGTCCGCTGTTGTTTGAGCACCGAGTAGACATCATCAACACGGCTGAGCCGTTCAAAGAAAGGAAGGAGATCCTGTAGCTCTGTGTCGCCCATGTTATCAAACCACGAGGCCACTGGTACCTAAGAAGAAGGATGTGGACCATGGAGGAGGGTGAAGGCTACGGCAGGGATCCCGTTCCATCGTGCCAGTCCCACTGGGTCAACAATCCCATGTCACCCTGTCTTAAGATGGTTCCTGGAGGGGTCCGTCCAGAGTAGGGAGATCCACTGGCCTCTCTTCATCAGCCCTGCTAATCTCCAAATCCTTTGTCCCCCTTGATCCACTCCTCCGCTCAGTCTCAAACTCCAGCACTCTGACTCCTTCCTCCCCTTCCCAGCTATCCCTCATACTCACAGCATTGTCTGGGTGGAAGACGTAGGAGGCTGGAGAATTGTCCAAGATGAGCACCCTCCGAAGGTCCCGACCCAGACGGCTCAGGTCTTTGACGTAGTTCCCTCGGTGGAAGACGCAGGACTCTCGAAAGAGCCGGGCCCGAAAAGACCCCCACTTGTCCAACAGGTCAGCAACAGGGTCTGCATACTGGGAGGGAGTGGGGGTCAGAAATGGAAGGCATGATGTACAGCGTGTTAGATTTGGTGTAGGGAAGACCTGAGGTTTCATTCAATCCAGCTTCAGCTAACTAGCAAGGGCAAATCACTTAAATAATAACAAATAATGTTACATAGTAACAACATTTGCCACACAGGGTTGTTAGGAGATCAAAGGAGATAACATCAAGTGCTTTGCAAACTTTGCAATGCTACATAAATGCTATTATTACTATTACTACTATTGTTACTATTAATTATTGTTATTATAGTAGGAGGGCTTGAAGGGGAAGTCAGGACCTCCCTAGGAAGTTGGCCTGACTAGTGGTGAGGAATGATGAGGACTCAGGAGAGAAGTCCTAACTCTTATACTCACCCACCTTATAGGAAAATGAGAGGGAAGGAATGGGGGCCTATCCAGGGAGCTGCTGTACAGCAGTGAGGGAAGAGGGTGATGAAGGGAGGGGCTCACCTTGGCCAGGCTGGCTGTGAAGAGCACACACTCAAACAGCTCCCCCATCCGCTGCAGGAACTCATCCACGTGGGGCCGTTTCAGCACATAGACCTGGGGGCAGGGTCAGTGAGGGGACTGGCCTGGCCGAGGAGGGGAAGACTTGCCAGCCACCCTCCCATGGGAATTGAAGATGGAGAAGCCCAGAAACATTAGCTGATCCAAAAGCCCAGGGACTGAACTCCCCTATTCGCCACACCCGACGCTGCCACTATGACTAATTCCCTGACTCTACCTGTCTCATAGAAGGAATGAGGTCACATTCAGATTGCTAGGGGAAAGGCCTACAGGTGAGGCAGGGGAACAGGACAGGGTACCCTAGGGCCCCCCTCACCCCAAGTGATGCTGGGTACCAGCCCCCGAACCAAGTAATGGAGAACAGGCTGAAGAAAAAACAGCCTATCCTGGATTACTTGAAACGGGTCCCGGCCACAGGGTGGGGTGAGAGGTCGGAGGAGGGCAGAGGGATTTGGGAGAAAAAGGCCCTAGACTTTCTCAACAGAGCCAAAATAAGAAATCAGCTAATTAGCTGTTTGACCTTGGACCAAGTCACTTCCTTCCCCATTCTGGGGATCAATTTCACAATCTGTAAAATGGGATGATTGGACTAGATCAAACATTCTAACCTTTACTGTGTATGGTGAAGTTTATAGATCCTTTCTCAGACTCACAAGACAAAACTCACAGGATTACAAGGGACATAAATTAAACTGTTTAGCACAATTATCAAAATAGCAAAAAAAAAATTTACAGACCCCAGATGAAGGACTCCCAAACCCCCACCCCAAGGCCCCTTCCAGCTCTAACATTCTGAGATTCTAAGTGTGTGGAGAAAGTAGAGAGAATAGTGGGAAGTGAGGAGAACCTAAAGTCTGACAGCCTCAGAAATTCAAAGGAAACCAGTGAGTTTGCCTCTTCTCTGCTTTCTTACCCTTCCGCCCTCCCCCACCCCTCTACTCCCTGCCCTTGACCCTATGGCCCTCCCCATCCACTCACCTGGTGAACCATTCCATCAATCTCCACAGGGATGATGAAGTCTGCATTGTTCACGGGCTGTGGGAAAAGCAAAAAGCCTGTGACCGAGTGACTGAGCTTCGGCTCACTTCCAGCCCCTCCCTCGGAGAGTGAGGCTTCGGGAGGGAGGGGAAACAGGCCAGCCAGTAGAGGGGCATAAGAAGCTCCAGCCCCAAGGCCTTAGAGGGGTCGTGCTGGGGGTTGGGAGGGTCCCAAGGTCAGAATCCAACCTTAAATGAACTGTGCACCAACGTCTCATCCAGGTCAATGACCACACAGATTTTGCCCAAGTCCTGGGCTTTGGCCTCAGGAAGAAGATATTTAGCCGGTGCCTGTAGGGAGGATAAAGGGGGACAGGTAACAGGATGGCTGTCCACCAAGAAACAACAGGACAACTCAACGTCCCCAAACGCCTCTTCTTCTAGGCCTCAATCCTGACCTCCCTTTTTGTTAGAGTGTGTGTGTGTGTGTGTGTGTGTGTGTGTGTGTGTGTGTGTGTGTGTGTTTGAGGCAACTGGAGTTAAGTGACTTGCCCAGGGTCACACAGCTAGTAAGTGTCTGAGGCCAAATTTGAACTCAGGTCCTTCAAGGCCACTGCTCTATCCACTGCACCACCTAGCTGCCCCTCAATCCCTACTTCCTAAGGAACACTTCCTCAGCAGCCCCTCCTCAGGAGAGCAGTGAAGTGTCCCAGATGGAAAATCAAATGCCCAGGATTCTGGTTGCGGCTCTGATACTCACTTCCAGAAGACCTGGAAGCAAACGATTTCACTTGTCCTCAGTTTCCTCATCTGTAAAATGCAGTTACCTGCCCTATCTTATCTTCCAGGGCCTCTGGAAGGATGAAACGACAAAATGCCTGTATCCTCCAGCCCTTGCAAATGATAAGAATGACAACAACAATAATAAACACCCGATATTTGTAAAGCACTTGAACATTTGAGATATAGCATGTTACTTAATTTGATGCTCATAACGAGGTGGTTTTGGCACAGAAAGCTGACCTTCCAAGAGTATAGAAGACCTGGGCTTAAATGCCCCACTCAGTCACCCAATGACTGACTGTGGCTGTGGGCAAATCACTTAACATACCAGTGCTTAGGAAACTCTGTAAGACTAGACATAGCACAGAAAGGGCCATCACACATTGCTGGAAGGGCTTTCCTCATTCCGGAGCTCTCTGTGCCAAGGAGATCACAGATCCAGTCCCTATCTTTGATCCTTTGAACCATTCCTGTGAGGTAGGAATGGACATTATTTTCCCATGTTGCAAATGTGGAAACTGAGGCTTTGTTAAAGCTAAATGACTCATTTAATTAAATGCATCCATTAAGTATGTGAGGTAGGATACTTAGCCACCATCCACTCTATCATATTAAAGCCAGGGCTAGGCACTGAATGTTTATGGAGTTGAACTGAATTCTATGAAAGCAATTTGAAAAGTTGAGAGCAGTATACAGGTCCCAGAAGTTATTACTCTAATGATTAACTCAAGGGCTCACAAGGGATAACTCAAGATGCCAGACACAGAGACTCTAAGACTCTAAGACTGGCTGACCCCAGAGAAGTAATATTATGAGATCATAGAATTTGAAGTCAGAAGGGACCATAAGCCCCTCAAATCAAAATCCAAATTCCTCATTAAATAAAAATTATTCTAAACTTAAATATTAGAAAAGGACAGAAGACAAAAAATACGATTCTATTTAAAACTGTGAATCTCCATTCCACTGCCTTTTAAAAAAGTATATAATACATACTACACATTACTTTCAAAAGTGTACTCTGCTCCCCTCTGAATGTCCTTCTGTTTTCTTATGCATTAAAAAAATGTTACTATGGCCTTCTGTTTTTTTGGTATCACTACCGACAATCTCCTCTACCACCCCACCCCCCCTTTAAATTAAAAATTGAAGGAGAAAAAAACCAAGTCTTTGCTTGTCACAAGTTAAGCAGCACTAATGCTTCCTAGTTGTGTGACTCTAGGCAAGACATGCGACCTCTCTGGCCTCAGTTTATTCATCTGTAAAATGGCAATAGTAGCACCCATATGCCCTACCCTCCTCAGATTGTTGCAAAGAAAGCCTGCTGGGGACAGCTAGGTGGTGTATTGGATAGAGCACTGGCTCTGGAGTCAGAAGGACTTGAGTTCAAATCCAATCTCAGATACTTACTAGCTATGTAACCCTTAACCGTGATTGCTCCAGGAAAAAAAAATAGAAAGAAAGCAGGCATGCTGGGAACCTTAAAAGGTCGTCTAAATGTAAGTGATTTGTTCATTAATAATTGGTGATGCAGATGACAATAATTATACTGCCCCTTGAGGGGAAAACCTGACAGTTTACTGACCTTGGGAACAGTCCCATTCTCCTCCACCAGCAGCGGGGCATTATTGTTGATGGGCACAGGATCAGTGTCATCGTGGCACAGGCAGCAAAACAGAGAGTGAAAGATTCCTCGGCTCCGGGGTTTCTTCGAAGGTGATGACGGCTGATCACCTGTAGAGTCCAAAGAGGATATGTCGGCCTGATTGACAGGAGCACCAAGACCCACACTCAGCCCGACCCTTTGTCAAGATCGGAACATAAAAAAAGCCAGGATGCTTGGGGAGAATGAGGAAGGTAGCATGATACAGCGGAATGAGTCAGAAGGTCCGAGTTCAAATCCTGCTTCTATCCCTCTTACTATTAGTGTATAAATGGCCAAGTCATTTAACTTTTCTTTGCATATGTAAAAAGAGAACTGGGCTCAATGACCTGTGAGGTCTCTGCCAGCTCCAAATCTATGCTCCTATGAATCTAAAACCCTCCAAAAATCCACACTCGGGCCTGAGGCACAAGTCACCTAACCTTGGGGCATTCCCAAGGATGCTAAGTTCCCAGCTGTCTCCTCTCTACTGAAGCCCTGTTCCGTTCCCTGGCTGCCAAGTAGGGGATGAGGCCCACAGACAGCCACCAAACCAGAGGGGACAGTTGCCAGGCAAGCATTTCCTCAGTCAAACTTGGCTGCTTCCAACCCGTGGGGCTGAATCCTTGACTCTCAACCTGTGGGTTCCCCCTAAGGGAAGTCAAAGGAAATCAGTTCAGGTCAGGAAGCAGACCAAGATTTGAAAAATGATGCTAATGAAGAATTCAGCATAGTGTGAAGCCATGCATCAACAAGATGACCCTGGTAACATACAGGGAAAACAACTCTGAGACATCAGAACTTTGAGGGAGAAATGGTGACGCACATCAGCCGCCTCTTAGAGAGAAGCCATGGAACAGACGAACAGACAAACAGACGTGCAGAATGGGACATTTGTAAGATACTGCCAAGGGGATTCTTTATTTTTACTGACTAGATTTACGGCTTAAAAGAGAAGGCCCGGGGGTAGAGAGGCGGACAGTTTAGTGTGTAATGACAGAGGGACCGAAAGAAAGAAAAGAGACCCAGTAAAACATTCAAAACAAAAAAGTTCAGAAGGGGACACAGGGCAATTTTATTACTACCTTCTTAAGTTTAAGATACATTTTTTAAAAAAATGAACATAAGAGCTCATGGTTTTATACACAATCCTTGTTCATTGGTGTATACTGAAGTATTTGTGTTTGTTGGCGACAAGTTTGTGCGGGGGGGAGGGGGGGGGGACGGACGGACAAGTTTACAAGGGATAACTCAAGATGCCAGACACAGAGACTCTAAGACTCTAAGACTGGCTGACCCCAGAGAAGTAATATTATGCAATGAGATCACAGAATTTGAAGTCAGAAGGGACCATAAGCCCCTCAAATCAAAATCCAAATTCCTCATTAAAAAAAATTATTCTAAACTTAAATATTAGAAAAGGACTGAAGACAAAAAATATGATTCTATTTAAAACTGTGAATCTCCATTCCACTGCCTTTTTAAAAAGTATACAATACATTCTACACATTACTTTCAAGAAAGTGTACTCTGCTCCCCTCTGAATGTCCTTCTGTTTTCTTATGCATTAAAAAAATGTTACTACGGCCTTCTGCTTTTTGGTATCGCTACCGCTAATCTCCTCTACCACCCCACCCCCCTTTAAATTAAAAATTGAAGGAGAAAAAAACCAAGTCTGCTTGTCACAAGTAAGCAGAGTCTACCAAAAACCAATTTACAAAATTGCCAGGTCCAAAATTCTATGTCTCTGCACTTTATGTCAATTACTTCTGTCTTAATTTTACAAATGAAGAAACTGAGGTTTCAGAGTCATTTGCTCAAGGATCAAATAGGTGGTAAACAGCAAAGTGAGAATTTGAACTTAGATCTGTGTTCTTTTCCCTATCCAAGGGCAGATTTCTTTCTCTCAGTCACTCCTGGCCTTGCAATTAGACCCTTAGATCGAGGGGCCAGGCAATCTGCTGACACTGCCCTAGCTATTACCTCCCACCAACTCCCTTCCTGCCTTCTGGCTCCTCCCTCTGGAAATTAGGGTTCAATGTCCACAGCGCCAGCTGGCACTAGGGGGGAGGCAGGAGAACAGCCAGACACTGGTGAGCCTGTACTCCATCCCACACCATCTGGACCGACACGTCTCAGTCCCTGTCCCCTCATGCTCTCCTCCCCTTAGACCTGAAGCAGCTCTAACCTCCTGCACCCCTAGCTCACCGAACTTCAGGGACTGGGGTCTTCCCGCCCCTGCAGTTGGATAATAAGGAAGTTGGGTTAACCATGATAGCACACTCGATAACGTCAATTTCAATCCAGTTGGGAGACCCAGTCTCTGAATGGAGCTCCCACTTCGATGCTATGTGAGCGTAGAAGGGTGCTCAAAGCAAGCCTGCTGGGGAGTGATAGAAAGCTGGGGGTGGGGTCGGGGTTTGAAAACAAGTGACGTTCTTCTGGTGTATGCCGTGTATGCTCAGATAGGGTATCCCCCCACCCCAAATGTGCATACACATGCCCAAGTTTCTGACTGCCTGATCCCTCTCTCTCCTCATCCCCCTTGCTAGGGTACGATTAAATCTGCTCCAAGCTGGGCTGGGTGGCCCTAAGAAGTGGCTGTCCTCGGAATCAATACTTTCAAGCTCGAGTCAGGAAGTGGGGGGGAAGGAGCGGCGCGGAGCACCCCCTCCCCACTCCACCCGGCCCATTCTTAGATTAGCAAAGTACAGTCCCCTCACTCCCCCGACCCACAGCATACACCCCCTCCTCGTCACCACCCCAACCTGACACCTGGCTCAGAAGGGGGTGGAGTCTGAGTGGCCTTGATTCGCCCCCTCCTACCCCCCCAAATATGCAATTCCCCCAGGCGCAGCCCGTTACTTCCCTGGGGCCCCCGCTGCTTGGGTTCAGTTCCCAGACTCCCGGGGTGGGGGTGGGGTGACACGAAAGAAGACCTTGTTGCCTCAGACTACCCCCGCCCCCCACTCCAGCATCCCCTGCCACCTTCCAGCCTCAGTTTCCCCATTCTGGATCAGCGAGAGCGCCAAAGGAGCGAAACCCCGCCCCAAGTCCCCGGAGCTGGTAGTTCAAACTCCCCTCTCCAAGTACTATTTGGTGCTTTGAGATCTTCCAAGAGAGATGGGACAGGCAGTGAAGGCGAGCGAGCGGCCCTTTGGCATTCGGCCGGCCAGTGCACCCCCTCTCTTCTTCCTTCCCCCAGCCCTGCACCCTTCCCTCCTCCAACCTTTCACCCCCTCCCCCCCAGCCCTGCCGGCCGGGCTACCTTTCCCCCGCAGCGGGCTCAGCGCCTCTTCCTTGCTAATCTGAGTGATGACGGCCGAGCTGTCCATGGGGCCAGGCGGGCTTGGGCCGGACTCTGCCCCCGTCGCCCGGCCCCCCCCCCAGCTCGGGCCGGAATGGGGGCGCGGGGGGGAGGGGAGAGGGAAGGAAGGAGGGATCCCCAGGAAATAAGGAGGAGGGGGAGGGAGAAAAAACGGGGGGGAGGGAGGGGGTGCGGAGGAAACTTTGTTACAACATGGAGTTTCCTCCCCGCGAGGCGGATACAAACATGGAACCCGGGCGCCGTTTCAAGGTTCCCCCTTAAAAGGGCGATGACTTCCGAGTAACCAGGTCTCCAGATTCACGCTTCCTCCTCTTTGGTGTGTGGGGGAGGTAGTTTCACCCCGACTGAGTTTATAGGCGGAATTTAATAATTATTGGTAGTTCAGCAGAATCAAATTCAACCAGCTCGGGGCTGGGTCCGAAGTACCGAAGATAATCTTACTATTTAAGTAAGGCTTTCTTTTCTCTGTTTACGAAACATTCCTCATGACTCAAACTCCTCCCCACCCCTCTGGCGGGTATTGTTATTCCCATTTTCCTGATAAAGAAACTGAGACCCAGATTGACCCAAAGGCACACCGTTGATGTTAGATTAGGTTAGATTTAACTGTTGAGATTAGACCCTGTGTTTTCTCGATCTTAGTAGGTCCAGGAATGCCCCAAGCCTATCGAGCCCAAAGGTCGTTGGATTTGGAGTAGGAATGTTTTCCAACTTCCTTGCAGAAGACCGAGGCCCAGATAGACTAGACACTCAAGCCATACTATTCAGTATATTGATTTAACATATAATACACGAGTGGGTATCATATTGCTTGCTTTTTCAATGGGTGGGAGAGAGGCTGGAAGGAGGGAGTTCAGAACTCAACATTTTAAAAAAGTTTAAAAAAGAATAAAATTAATAGAATTAACCAAATATAATGCAAGAGTTATGTGATGACAATATTGATACTACCAGTATTCACCAGCATGGAGCCCAGAGGACCTCCTTAACTTCCAAGAAATGTCCAAGATTCTGTTAATTAATAATGAACATCTGTTCACATGATAATAAAAATTTGATAATAATTAATGATAGCAATAAATTAATAATAACTCACATTTACATGGCACTTTACAATGTTTCCCATCATTGTGGATAATACTGTGTTCAGAATTTGAGAGTCTGTGTCTTAAAGCCCATTTGCCCCGGGGTGAGTCTATGTTTTGTGTGATATGGATTATATCTTCTTCTTCAGTCTTTTCAGTCGTGTCTGATTCCTTGTGACACCATTGGCAAAGATTCTGGAGTGGCTTGCACTTTCTTCTCCAGCTCATTTTACAGATAGGGAAACCAAGGCAAACAGGGTTAAGTGACTTGTCCAGGGTTGAAGCTAGTAAGTGTCTGAGGTCGGATTTGAATTCAGTGAGATGAGTCTTTCTGACTCCAGGCCCTGGACTCTATGCACTATGCTGCCACCTAGCTGCCCTGTACATATCCACTCCTAGTTTTTATCCTTAGTTCTAGGTCTCTAATTGTCTCTATTTGTCTCTAATAGAGACAATCTCTGTCTATTGTTGTTTTTGTTCAGTCTTTTCAGTCGTGTCCGACTTTTCTGGAACCCATCCAGGATTTTCTTTGCAAAGACACTGGAGTGATTTACCCTTTTCTTCTCCAACCTATTTTACAGATGAGGAAACTGAGGCAAACAGAGTGAAATGACTTGCCCAGAGGCACCCAGTGAGTAAGTGTCCTGAGGTCAAATTTGAAATCAGTTCTTCCTGCACTCTACCCACTGCACCACCTAACTGACTTGGATTGTGTCTTAGGGCGTCCTTCTTCCCTGGGGGAGCTTCTGTGCCTTGATCTGAAAGTAAAGAGGGCCAGGGGACCCTGGGAGGCATCCACTATGGGTGCTACCAGGGGCATTTGCCTTGGATAAAGCCCTCAGGTATTGGGTGGGAGAGATCAAGGAAGATTTCTCTCCAGTGTGCTTATCTGTATTGAGGCCAGGTGCCTGACCTCCCTGGCCACAGGGACACCAGCAGGGCAGGAGCAGTATCAGAGCTGGACCCACACCAACTGCCTCATTGGGATTTGTTCAGTTGTTTGGTAGCAGTGTTGGGATTCAAACCCATATCTTTTTACTCCAAATACAGGACTTTTTCACTTCACTGGGCTCTTAGAGGTGGACAGTCTGTACTTGGTAGCAAAATATATGACATTTATCTGTTATATGAGGAGGATACAGGCAGAATTCCCCATCCTCATGGGGTTAAAGCCATTCACTTGTTGGGGTGCTGGAAGAGGGGCTTCCTGACCCAGTAGGAGTTCACCAGATGACCTCTAATGTCCTTTCCGGTTCTACGTCTGAAAAGATGAGATCTGGGTAGCATTGACTTTGCGATCAAGGGCCAGTGAAGAGACAGGATTAGCCAGTAGGTGGCGCTGTGGCCTGGAACCATCTTCCCAAATTCAAATCTTTTCTCCCCTAATCAATCATCCTGATGGCTGGTCCTGATGGGTCTGGGAGACAGGGAGGGAAATTATGGCTATTGATGAGACAGGGGTTATATTTAACGAAGTGGATCACAAAGACTTTGCTTAGAGTTCCGGGATGTTAATGAGGAAAGTGCTTTGTAAACTTTAAATGATAAAGCACACATGATTTCATTGGCATAAGGAATTCCTGCATGAAGGCACTTTTTTTTTTACCAATGCAGTTTGGCATCTTCTCTGAAACTTAATCTTAGGGAGTAAGTGACTTGCCCAAGGTCACACAGTCAAGTACGTGTCAGAGACTGTCCCTGGCTCTAGAGATTGTCTGGTTTCTATACCACCCTCCCTCCAAAACCTTAAGCACTCCAAATGTGGAAGGGGTGGGGGGTGGGGAGAGGAAGGACTCCTTTCGGAGTATCACATGTAAAGAGAAACTAGGAGATCAACCTGCAACAACTCATTTTCTTTTTTCTTTTTTTAGCTAGGCAATGGGGTTAAGTGACTTGCCCAGGGTCACACAGCTAGTAAGTTTCAAGTGTCTGAGGTCATATTTGAACTCAGGTCCTCCTGAATCCAGGGTCGGTGCTCTATCCACTGTGCAGCCCCTGCAACAGCCCATTTTCTAGATGAACAAAGGGGAAGGCCACTGAAAGAAGAGGACCTGTCCTATTCCCCTTCAGCCGTCAGCCTGTGGAATAAGAGGTGATTTGGGGTTTCTTTCTTTCTTTTGCTGTAATCTGATTCTTGTATTTTTATTTAGGTTTAGACAAATAAAAAGTTGCTGTGGCTGTATCCTGTCTCCAGTGACTGGGATGGATTGGGGGGTGGGGTGTGGAGGAAGGAAGGAAACTGTTCTTACATCCTCCTGGCCCAGTGGCTAGAGTTCTGGGCTTGGTATCAGGAAGAACTAAGTTGGAATCCTCTAGTTACAAGCAAGTCACAACCCTTCTGAGCCTCAGTTTCCTCATCTGCAAAACGAGGGGAGGGAGAGACTAACAATACTGGATTTTTGTGGGAACTGAATTAAAAATGTATGTAAAATCACTCTGCAAACCTTAAGGGACTTTACAAATCTGAGTTATTTTTATTACTGGAGCGTAGAATGCAGGCAATTTCTGCAAAAAGATTAGTCCCCAAAGTGGGCAGTTTCCAAGAACTCTTTTTCCTCCCCCTCTCCCATTTCACCAGGTTTCCTCCTATAGACCAAATCTTTGTTTAGGAGCCACAGGGTGGAATGAATCAGGCTTCTTGGCCCCCCTCCCCGCTAGGTCTTCATCTCTGTGTGCCTCAGTTTCCCTGCTTTGGTTCATCTCCCTAGTGAAACTTTTGCTGTCTTGATTCCTCTACTGAGGTAATTAATTTCAACAAGCATTTAAATCCGTACCATGACACGTAAGAGGCACTCTGCTAGGTCCTGGAGCCTATGAAGGCAAAATAAAATTGGTCTTTGCCTTGAAAAAGAAATTTGCATTCTTTTAGGAGGAAACTACGTGTACAAATGCATAAAGCTAATTTGAACAGGGAGAGAGCATTAACAGCTCTCAGGAATCAGGGAAGCTTCCAATAGGAGTTGCCAAGAGCCCAGCCTCAGAGAAAGTTAAGGACTCATGAGACAGAGATGAGGCAGGGGGTGGGGTGAAAGTGAAGATGGAATGCTGAATTACAAGAATCAGGAGGCCAGTTAGCCTGAAATTCAGAACGTGTGAAGGGGAGAAATATGAAATAAGCCTGGAAGAGGCTGGAGGCAGATTTATAGAATTTACACAGCACACTGAAAAGTCTGGATTTTATCCTATAGGCAGAAGGGAGCTACAGAACGTTCTTGAGCTCGGGTGGGGGTGGGGTGGTGACGTGGTCAGACGCAGCGCTTAAAGGCTAATCCGGCAGCTATACAAGGGTATGTACAGGGTAATGTGGCGATAGGGCAAATACCAATTAGGAGACGGTTGCAGTAGTCTGGTCCAGAGGTGATTAGAGTCTCAATTAGGGTGGTCGTGTGGAGCCCCCAGCCAATCAATCAGGTCTGGCAGTCTGTTGCTCCTAGTGGGAAGAAGGGAGAGGGAAGTGTAGAAGATAACCCTAAGGATGGGAACTGAGTGACCTTCCACAGCAGCTAAGTAGAAAGGGCAAATTAGAGGGAAAGGAAGGAAAATGAACATTTATTTATACAGCGCCTACCACTTTTACACTTACCACTTTACAAATAGAGCCACATGTGCTTCTTAGAACAACCTACGAATTAGGTGCTATTATTGTCCCCATTTTACAGTTGAGGCAATTGAGGCAGGCAGAGGTTAAGCTACTTGCCAAAGGGTCACACAGCTAGTGACTGAGGTCGAATTTGAACTCTTCTCGGTTAGGGACTCTCCTGGCTTGAATAAAAGACTGAGCATCAAAGGAACCAGGTTTGGGATCCTAACTCTTTCACTTAAGCACTTTTGATCTAATTCGCCCGGGAAAGCCAGGGAGATGAATATCAATTAACTGCTTGTTAGGTGTAAAAAACTTCACACAAACGGGAAGTGTGGCATAGGTTTATTAGGGAAAGGGAGACGAGGTGGGGGGGTGATGGTAAATCCACCCCGGCTATTTGGGTGGGTCTCCTCCCAACCCTTCTCCACCACTCCCCTCCCTTTCCTTCCCCTCTTCTTCCTACACCACGCCCCATCTCTCCTACACTGCGGGCCCCACCTAAGCCGTCGCCCTTTTAAGAAAGAGGAAATTCTTCTCAAAAACAAGCGCCCCAGCCCTGAAGCGGGTCCGGACAACCGGACTTGGGGGTTCTTGGAAGATGGGCGGCCTGGGCGCCCCTATTCCTCATGCGCCCCAATCTACATAAAGCTTCGGGCCCTGGAACGCAGAGCCCCCAGTCCCTGTTCCCCCTTCCCACCCTGGGCCCGTTCTCCAGACTTCAGTGAGTGGAGGCGGGAGGTAGAGAGGGAGGAGGGAGCTGGGGGAGCCTTGAAACCGCTCAGGGACCGTCGGTAAAGAGCCGCTCCGGCGCTGGGCGTAGGGGAGGGAGGGGGGGGAGCCCCATCCAATCCCTGGGGCTTCCCCCGGCCTTTCACGTTCTGTAGAATGAGAGGCGAGGGCACCCACTCTCCCCAGCTGGAGCTGAGAGCGCCCCGAGACCCTACTGACCTCGCTGTGGCTCCTTGGGGGGGTGCCCCAAGTTGGGAACTTTCCTGCCCCTTGAGGGACTTGTGGGTCGCCTCTAATGAGCGAGGCGTGGGAGTTGCGGACGCCTGGCCTTCCCCCGGGAGATGACAAATGAGTCGGGCCCGGAAGGCAAGGGCTCCCAACTGGGGCGTGAACCATAATTCTGTGTTCCCGCCAGGAAAATGGGTACAGAGCTGGTGGGGGAGAGGGGGCGACCCCGGATCCCAGCCCTCTCCTGAGATGTGGGCAAGAAGTAAAGGACCCCAGTAATCCGAGAGTGTGAGGGATTCCTGATTTAGTTTTCGCTCCCATCTTCCTCTCTCCAGTTATCAGTGCTTTATTCTCCCTCCCCCCACCCCCTATTCACTCAGTGTCCTGAAGTTCAAGGGCGAAGGGCCCCTGGACCTGGGACCTCTCTTACGACTTGACCTTCTGATTAACCCTAGCCTTAAGTGAGGGGCCTTAAGCCGAGTTTTCCAGCAGGTGAGACTCCCCCTCCTCCTCTGGCCTATCCTGGCCCCGGGGAATAGGGTCTCAGCTGGTGGGACTCCCCTCTTCCTCCTCTTCTTGTGGGAGTCCGTAGAGGAACTGCTGGTGAGAACTGTGCATCAGTGTAGCAGCCCCGTGGGCAATGCAACAGGTCCACATCTAGGTTTGGGAAAAGGCACGAGGGCAATCAGAATTGGGAGGCAGACTCCCCTTCCCAGTCCGGTGTCCCCCTTACCTGTCTAGTACTTTTCCAGTGCTCCCCTCCCCCTGCTCTCCAGTCCCTTCAGAGATTATTTCCAATTTATCTTGTGTATATCTTGTTTGTGCAGAGCAGTTTGCCTGTTTGTCCTCGTTCACCCTTAGACCTTGAGCTCCTAGAGAGCAGGGATTGTTCTTGGCCTTCTCAGCCCCTGGCACATAGTAGGTGTTTAATAAATGCCTGTCTGGGAACACCCGCATCTGCTTTCCTGGCCTTTCCCATCCCTGAAGGGAGAAACACTCTAAATCCCTGTTCCTGGAGACTCAGAGCGCTGAGGCCTCCATTTCTCACCCTCTCGGCCCCTTTCCTTCTCAGCCCTTCAGATCTCCCCCACCCCAACCTCCCAGGCTGTCCCTTCCCACTTCACCAGGTAGAAGAAGAGAGCGAGGTAGGCAGCAGCTAGCAGAGCTACCGGCCCGTAGTATCCGGGATGCGGAAGCCCCTCCAAGTAACTGATTACAAAGTAGGCGTTGATGGTACAGACTAGGCCCATGATGAGGAATGTGGTGATTTTGCATATCCTGGAGAGGAGACATGGGAGAGATCCTTTTCAGGGTCCCAGAATAAAGTTAGATCTGGCTCCTCACATCTCCTCCCCAGCCCCATTGTCCTACTTGGGATGGCCAGAACAGACCTATTCCATCCTCCTTCTTCTCTCCACCCCCTGCTCTCCCAAGGGCCTGGCCAGGCTTTTCCTTTTGTCTGATATTTCTTGTGCCAGGGAGGTATGTATGGTCTCCAAACCCGGGGGGAGAGGGGGTGGGGATGGAGAGGAGCACCTGGTAATATAGCAGAGCCAGCAATGGGCAGAGTGATGGACCTAGATTTAGGAAGACACTTAGGAGCTTTGTGACCCTGGGTGACCTCTCAGTTTTAGTTTCCTCATATGTAAAATGGGAATAATACTAGCACCTACCTCCCTGAGCTTATGATCAAGTGAAGTGACATGTAAAGTGCTTTGTAAACCTTAGGGTGCTATGTAAATGCTAGTTATTATTATTGCTACTAGTACTATTGCTGCTACTGTTGCTACGACTGCTATTATAACAGTCCTGAGGGCACTTACAGGCCATTGGTGAACTCCTGCATGATGGCGGGCATACTGGTGAAGGTGAGGATGGGAAACACAGCAAAGGGGAGCTGAGAGATGAGGAGAGACTGGTAAATATTGGAGGATGGAAGGGCATGAAGTGAGGAGGAGGGCTGAGGATTCTGGGAGTGAGCCTTGGTCTGGCTTTAGGCTGTTGACTGACCTGTCCATCAAGGCCACGTGGCAGGGGAGGGCAAAGGGAGAGAAGAAGGCAGAAGGGTATAGCCCCCCCACCCCTGGGCAAGGAGCCCCTCCATGAGCAGGCGAGCTCTCTTACCAGCAGGCTCTGTAGCACATTTAACAAGTCATTCAAACCAGACAAGTCTTGTATATCCCTGAAGATGGCCACCAGGATGGTGGGGAGGATGGCACAGGAGCGAGTGAAGAGGACTCTAGCAAACCGGGACCAGCGGAGCTTCAGGAAGCCCTGGGAGTTCAGGGGAGGGGAAATGGATGTCTGGGACCTCAAGGGGGACTGGAGGAGACCCTGCAATCTGGACCCAGGGGATTGATTTCCATTCCTAACTGGGCCCCTCAGTTTCCCTTTGTGTGAAGTAGAGGGAAGTCATAATCTTTCTTTGGTTCCTTACGTTCCGCACCAATAAAATGAAAGGTTTTGAAGTAGAACCTAGATGCTGTCTAAGGTTCCTTCCATCTCTGACGTTCTCTGGCTTTCTATGGGGTGGGAGCCTCAGCCGTGGAGGTAGAGAAGTAGGTGAGGGGAATTCTAGAAGGGACCAAGCTGGCCTCCAGATGAGAGTGCCCCAGAGTATTACCCACTCTTCTTTTTGACAAGTGGTGAGGAAGGAAGGCAGGTAGACTTCTCCCTTCTCTAGGGAGAAGTCCCTCCAGGCTCCTAGTAGATGAAATCCTAACCCTGTCATCCTCCCACAAACCTCTCCATGACCACCCCTAATGGGCCCCTATTTCCTCCTTGAGAGCTCACATACCTCCATCACAAACTGCCCAGCATAGGTGCCTGTCATGGTGGAGCTCTGGCCGGCTGCCAGGATGCCCACAGCCCAGATATAGAGGACCACAGGGCCGAAGAAGCAACCGAGAATCACTCCCTGAAGAAGAAGGGGCTGTTGGGGAAATGGGCTGTCCAGCTTGAGTGGTGCCCTCCTCAGGGCCATTCCAGTGAGCTAGGAGGTAGCTGGGTAACCAGGGAACCCATCCCCGAGCAGAATATCACTGATGTTTAAGGGCTGGTCCAGGCAGGTCTCAAATAGGTCCCCTTTCCCACCCCCCCCTCAGAGTCTAACAGCTGCCCCATTCAAGCCAGGAGGTTCCTGCCTCATCCTGGGGAATTCAGGCTGAGGGAATGGGAAGAGGAGCCCTGGGCTTTGGGCCCCTTCGTCCAGCTCACCCCCTGGTAAATGTCTGCAGTCACAGGCTGGTCATCCTTGAGAAATGAGGTGTAAGAAGAGAGACTCCCATTGGCACATACATCATGCTGTGGGTATGGAGACAAGGGCAGAGAAAGCGTCACCCCAGAACACTAGAGCTGGGTCTTCAGGGGTCACCTGGTCTAACTCCCTTATTGTAGAGGGGAGGAAACTAGTGAGGGGAAGGGGCTTGTCCAAGGTCAGTCTGGACAAGAACCAAAGTCTTCTTTTCCTTAGTCCAAGCGCTTTTTCCTGTAGGCTGGGCAGATTCGAGGCTTTAGGACAAGGATGGACATTTTAAATGTGGTGGAAGGTGTTTAATACTATTTTCTGAATGACAGTTGATGGAGAGACAGATGCCAAACCCAAGCCAAAGTGAGTGCAGGGGGGCAGCAGCTCAGAGTCAGAATCCTGAGAACTGGAAGGGAGTTCAAGGGTAAAGGATCCCATGGAAACCCAGTGAGTCCCCAAGGCCAGAGAGTGAGTGTGCAATGAGGGTCCCTGGATTCCTCACCACAGTCTGGTTGGTATGTTGGTAGAAGGCCTGGCCAAAGACCGCCATGACAAACAGGTTGATGAGGAAGGAGACAAAGAGAGCGATGGAAGCCTCTATCAGGAAATACATGTTGGCTTCTCGGACTTCGTGTCTTTGGGAACGATCGATTCTTCTGGACTGGGGGATAGGACAGGGAGGACTTTCAGGGAGGGAGGGAGGACTCTGCTCCTCAGAGAATCTCTGAGTTGGATCTTTCTAGTTCCTTAGTCCAGTCTCCATTTAGAAATCCCAAGGCATCAATCTATCCTTACACACTGAAGGGAGAGGGCTAAAATTTAAGTGCAGGATTGGAGGAGTGAGAGATGGAGGGACAGTATGAGATCAGGGATGGAGGAGCAGGGATAGAGGAGTCAGAGATGTGGGGACAGTATAAGACCAGGGATGTAGGAGTCAGAGATGTGGGGACAGTATAAGACCAGGGATGGAAGAGTCAGAAATGTGGGGACAGTCCAGAGGGACCCCTCATTCCCAAAGAGCAGGGATGGAGGGGCAAGGATGGAGGAGTCAGAGATGGAGGGACAGTAGAAGGCAAGGGATGGGATCAGAGGACTGTGGCTCAAAGAAAGGTTCACAGCTTTCCCCAAGGTCCCCCCTCCCCTCCCACTCTTCCTTTTCCTTCTTTCCTCCTCTCTCACCTTGACCAGAGCAGAGTGTAAGTAGATGTTGTGGGGCATGATGATAGCTCCCACGATGCCTACTGCCTGCAGGAGCTCGGGCTGGCCACAACCTGAGCAGGAGGGCAGAAAGAGTCCCTTGAGCAATGCCCCCTGGTCTGGCTTCACCACCACGTACTGAAGCGGGGGAGAGGAAAAGGGGCTACGTCACCATGAGTCCCCCCACCCCTGATCCAAAGTGGTGCCTACCCCTCCCCACCCAGAGTAGCTCACAGGGTCAGATTTAGAACTGGAAGGGACCTCATCTGGCCATCCTTTTATGGAGGAGGAAATGAGCCCCAGAGGGAACGTGAGTTGTATCTGAGTCATATGGTTTGTAAGTTCTAGACCCAGGATTTGAGCTCGGGTCTTTTATGTCTAATTCTAGTACTCTTTCTACTCTCTTGTGCTCTTCCAAGGACTTAGACTGAGAAGGTGGGAAGGTGGGAAATTGTAGACTTGTCCTTCAGAGGTGATGAGGGAGGCGGCATGCTTTCAGTGTCCTACCTCATAGCCGAAGGTCAGAGCCATGATGGTGATGAGGAACCCGAAGAAGGCTTCCAGCTTTCGCAGCCCTTGGGGAAAGAAGGTAGGGAGAAAGAGGCTTTGAAGACATCATCCCACTCTGGGACATCTCCTTTCCCTGCCTAGACAGAGAGGGCTTCCTCACACTTAGAGGATTCTGGGAGACTGGACTCCACACCCTTCCTGTAGGGAACTTTCAAATAGGGTTTTCTCCTAGACTGTCAGCTTTGCAATTTAAATCATTAGCATTACAGAATGTTATTAGGTGTATCTCACACAGAGGGTATCTAGAATATTTTTTTAAAAGCCTCAGAAATGGCAAATAAATCTAAGATCTGTTAGCTGGGGAAATTGTGTCATTTCCCCCTTCCCCTTCAGCTACTTGGACAGGGGAGATCTTGGCCTTCTCTGATAGTTTCAGCTGGCCTCTGGTGTCCTCTCCAAGAACTCACCATAATTATCCAGGAAAAGGAAGAACAGCGAATCGACAATGGTGATGAGCACACCACCCCAGAGGGGAATCCTGCAACCAGAGGGGCATCAGTTGAAGGACTGAATCCAGACCCAGATATGGGACCCAATCTCCCTTAGAACTGAAGAACATGGGCCTTTGGGCTTCCCAAGGACCCATGGGGCAGGAGATAGGGGTCAGTATGGAAGGCCAATTGGGGAATATGTGTACATGCTAGAGAACAAGAAAAATTCCCCAAAGAAATGCAAAGTCAGAAGAAAGAAGGGCACAGCCTGGAGTCCCCATTCCACCATCATCACTCAATCACCCAGGAAGCATTTATTAAGCGCCTTTTGTGTTAGGCACTGGAAATGTGAAAAGAAAAATGAAATCGTGTCTGCCCTTGAGGAGCGTCCATGTTTATAGGCAGCAGGAAAGGAACCAGGAGATAAGGAAAGGTTGAAGATTAAAGAAGGGGGTGGGGAATAAATGGGGACAGTCTGCTGGAGGAGATGGGAGAAGGTAAGATCCGAGATCCAAGCAGATAGGTTTGCGGTGGCAAGGAGAGGGACCACATTTTTTTTCTTTCAGGGGCTAGAGTCAGGAAGGAAGGATTGGGGAATGATGTCAGATTGTCAGAGAAGGAGGAGCTCACAGACAATGGCTTGTATTTTTTCAATAAAGTATGAAGAGAAGTTCTTAGTTGAAAGGGCTGGGGGAGGGGGAGGTCCGAGGATGGAAGGAGGAGGTCTGAAGAGAGGAGAGAAGGTTAGGAACAATTTCAATGAGAAGTGGATTAGAGCCTCAATTAAGGAGGAGTAGAAGGATCAGCTTTTGCCTCCGCACCATATTGGTCCCCTCTGGCCACTGCTCTCCCACTTGGACCTCACACTCGGCCCTTGGGATGCTGGACTTTGATAGGTGAGCTTTGCCTTATCTTGCCCCAAACCAGGCTTCAACACTCCTAACCCTCCCCCCTCTCTCCCCACCTTGAGCATCCCTACCTACCCTTTCCAGGTCCCCTCTGTATTGTTTTCTCTGAGTAGAAGGTAACCTCCTTGAGGTAACAAACAGATACCATCTTGCTTGTATTTCTATTCCCAGTACTTAGCACAATACCTTGCATGCACCAAGCCCTTAATAAATGCTCTCTCTCTCTCTCTCTCTCTCTCTCTCTCTCTCTCTCTCTCTCTCTCTCTCTCTCTCTCTCTCTCCTTTAGACTGTTGAAGGCTCTGTTGTCCTACATTAGAATAGGAGCTCCTTGAAGGCAGGAACTGACTTTTCTGCCTTTCTTTGATAGCCCAGACAGTTCCTGGTTTTAAGTGCTTAAGAAAAGCTAGAACATTTCTCACTATTCCATCTGCAGGGAGTGCCCAGTTGAGATTAGATGATGTTGGGGCACCTGGGTGGCGCAGTGGATAGAGCTCTGGCCTTGGAGTCAGGAGGACCTGAGTTCAAATCTAACCTCAGACACTTGACACTTCCTAGCTGTGTGACCCTGGGCAAGTCACTTAACCCTGATTGTCTCAACAAAAAAAAGCAACAAACAAAAGAGAGAGATTAGATGATGTTAATTCGTATGGCATCCAGTCAGTGTGGTTGACTGACTTCCCCTAGACAGAGCCACATCAATGGGAGCAAAGGCATTGGATGGGGAGTAAGGCGGGATCAGAGTTTGGGAAGGCATGAACCCAGTGGGCAAGGGATTTGAGAGAAGGAGGTGGTATAGAGCCTAGCTGGTCAGCCATAAGGCTGAGATGGGGAAGGGAGGAAAGTGACATCTGAGCAGGACTGATAGCTGTAAGAGTACAGAGAAACAGAGGGGTTCAAGATCACGGTGAGGGCAAGAAATGGGGCTAGGAGGAGGAGAAAGGCATAGGGAGAGAGCGGGTGATAGGAGGTTATGATCAGATCAAGGAACTTCAAGGTCTTTGTTGGTAGAAATAGAACCCAAGGATGATGGAGAGATTCAGGACATGACCTCCCTACATCACTGAGGTGGAATGCAGGAGGAGGTCATGGGAGTTAAGGCTGAGGAGTTGGGTGGTTAGGGTGTCAACTCACTTAACCCTCCTATGCCTGTTTGCTCATTTGTCAAATAAAGATAATAACACCTACCCATTGTCACCAGGTTATGAAAAGGTCAAATGAGATAAGAAAGCTTAGAGAAATAATTAAGGCCTTATGTGACAGAACTGTAGTGGAATGAACCTTGAGTCAGTGGATCTGGGTTTGAATCTTTGGACAAGTCATTTAATTAACCTCTAGGCCTCAGTTTCCTCATCTGTAAAGATAATCTTTGAGGCCCATTCTGGTTCTCAATCCTATCATTCTACAATTATAAACTTATAGTTATTACTAGCACTTTCATTTCTCTTTCTAACTTATATACATCCTGCCAAACACTGCTGGTATATTTTTTTAAAGTTGTCCATTTTTTCAATGCATGCTACAGGCCTGCCCTGACTCCTGGCACCTAGCCACTCATGCTTACAGGGTGGTTGGGCTTGGGGAGGGAAGGAGTCATTGCCTTGCATTCAAGGCCCTGCTGAAGTGGTAGGCTGTCTACCTTCAGGTGATGGGTTGACGGCAGGGCTGAACTAACATTTTTTGGAAAATAATAATGTGAATTTCTATAACCCACTAAAATTATAGATGGATGACGGATGGATGGATGGATAGGTAGGTAGGTAGAAGATGGGTGGGTGGCTAAATGGGTAGATAAATATATAGATAGATGGCGAATGGGTAGATAGATGGTGGGTGGATGGACGGATGATAGGTAGATGACAGGTGAGTGGATAGATGAGTAGGTAGATGGAGAAATGATAGATGGAAGGAGAGATGGGTAGGTAGATAGATGCTGTATAGATGGTAGATGGATAGATGTAGAGAGAGAGTAGATGGATAAATGGATTGAGAAAGGGTGGATGGATAGATGGATGGATGGAAGGATGGATAAGTAGGTATGTAGAACAATTATTAAGCACTTACCGTGCTAAGCTGGGGATCAAATGCAATAAAGACAGTATCTGCCCTCAAGGAGTTTATAGTCTACTGTGAGCTTTCTGCTCAGGACAGTTTTTGTGGGCTAGGCAGTGCAATGACCTTATTATCCCCATTTTATTGAGGATCATAGAATGAAAGTGACTTGTCCAGTGTTGCTTACTGAATGAGTGTCAGAGAGCAGAGTGAAACCCAAGTCTTTTCTGATTCTGAGACACACCAAGCTCCGATATTAATCATACTTGTTAGGGTCACTACCTCCTAGCAGAAAGCAGGCTGAAGGCGATGGCTGTGCCAATGACCTCCTGCATATCCGAACCAATGATTGCCATTTCCATAACCAGCCACAGCAGGACGCGGGGCACCTGAGGGGAAAGAGGACTCAGAGGGGCTCTCCCACCGAGGTAGGTGCCCTCCATTACTCTCCTCCCTTTTATGAGCTCTGAGGATCTCTTTCTCCTTTTCTCCCCCCATTTCTGGGAGCGTCTTGCAGATAGAAGGTGATATTAGTAGGGGTTTGGAGAGGAAGTGTTCAAATAGACTCTTCCCTAGGTGTATTCCTTCAGGTGTTTCTGGCTTCAGGGGAATTCAGGACTTACCTTTGGCCCAGGATGGCAGGAGAGGCTATTAGGCATGATTGAAAGGGGACTGGAGGACCATTCTCATTCCCTGAAATTCCACTATTAGTAATTCATCTCTTTGGGATATACATTGTTCTCTCCTCCTCTCTGCCTTTAAAATGTAGCTAAGATCTAATCCATTAAGTCTCTAACAGCCTAGTGTGAATGAGCTTGTTTGCTAATTTCCTCTCACGCGAGAAATGAAGTGATACAACACCAGGACATATAGGGGGCATGGAGGAAGGGAGGCACTGGGGGTGGGGGTGCAGGAGAAGCAGTGTGTGTGCAGAGTCATGAAAAGGGGGGACATAGATAGCCTGGGAAATATCCTAGAATGCAATGCAGGATTAGGTACCCCTAAGCACAGCTTTGTCATGGAACATGATCTTCCTGGCCAAGACAGCTATGATCCTGCTTCCTTATTCTACTTACAACTTACCTTTTTTCCCACCCTCCCATCCCTCAGCCAGGCATGTCCTGGCCCCCCTCTGTTCTGGGGTAGTCACTTTTCACCCTTGATATTCAGTTTCCTCATTTAATAACTAGCATTTATATAGTACTTAACTCTGTAAGATAAGGACTACCATTATCCTCATTTTGCAGATGAGGAAAGGAGAGGTTAAGTGATTTTACCAAGGTCAGATAGCTAGTATGTGACTGAGGCAGGATTCAAACTCACTCCAAGTCCAACATGGCAACCCTTAGCTGTGCATAAACATCTTTAAAATGAAGATGGCAAAGGGGCAGGTGGGTGGTGCAGTGGATAGAGCACTGGCCTTGAAGTCAGGAGAACCTGAGTTCAAATCTGACCTCAGACCAAACAGTTGATACTTACTAGCTGTGTGACCCTGGGCAAGTCACTCAACCCAAATTGTCTAAAAAAATTTTTTTTAAAATGGAGATGGCCTAGTTGAATGCTAATATTCCAGGCTCCTACCCATTCTCTCCTCACCTTGGGGTAATACAGATGGCAGATCTCTGCCAGGTCCTTGCCGGTCACCACCCCAAGACGGGCAGCCAGGCGCTGGCATAGTAAGCCCAGTACAGTGGCCCAGAGCAGTACCCACAGCAGCTGAGGAGAACACAGTAAGAGAGAAGGCTCAGCTAACAGGGAAAGTGCACCCTTCCCCCACCCTCAACCATGGCCCGCTGCCCCACCCTGACAAATAGGCCGAGGAGTTGTTCCCTTTCCTGCTGTCCTTGGGGTTCAGGGAATGGAAGGGAGAGGCCTCTTCTCTAATTCAAGCCACAGGCCCAGACTGACCATGTGACTAGAGCTGTGGGTAACCTGGGCCTTATAGCCACTGGATTGCTGGGGAAAACAGGAAGATGCCCCAGGGGACTCTTCTGGAGGGTAGATGCTGCCCCTGGGAGAGGGAAAAGCCTGGGACTGGGATGGAAGAGGAATGTCAACTATGGGGGCCCGGTTGAGACTTGGGGGGAGTCTCAACCCACTCAGATTGACCCCTATTCCTTCATTCACTTTGAATCCAGCAGCGGCTCCAGCTTGCAGGTCAGATTCAATATTTCCAGGATCCAGAAAAGCTATGCTCATGAGGAATCCTGGTCCTGTGAAGGCCCACAGCTTCCGGAAGCTAAATCTTCCCTAAGGGGAAAGGAATGAGAGAATAAATCCTTCTCCCCTCCACCCTCAGCCCCATCCACTTCTCTACCCGTGCTCTCCTAACTAAGGTAGGTTCTCGTCTCCAGAAGCCAGTCCTAGAGTTCTCTTACTTCTAGCTGGGCCCCTTCTACAAGTCAGGCCATCCATCGCCCCACTTCCAGGAAGGATAGCAAGGGGTCGCAAAGACAGACCTTAGAGATTATCTATCAAATTCATTACCTTATTCCACCTCTATCATTTTACAGATGAGGAAGCTACTGTCAAGAGAGGTGGAATCAATAACCTGACGTCCCACAGAAACTAGATCCAGACCCAGCTTCCCTGACTCCATTAGAACGTATTCACTGGAATCCAAGATCCTTGAGGACGGGGGACAGTTCTTGCCTTTCTTTGTATCCCCAGTGCTTAGTATAGTACCTGTCCACATAGCAAGTGGTTAATAAGTCCTTGTTGACTCACTGACTGACTACATATCATCACCCTTTCCCTTCCAGCAAGAGATCTTATAGTAGGACTCCTTGAAGGAGTGTTCTTGCCTCCTTCTGTTCTCCCTACTAGACTGTTAGTCCTATGAGGGCAAGGGCTCCCCCAGTCCCTGATAAGGTGCTCTGCACACAGTAGGTGTTTCATGCGTGTGTGTGGATTGGAATGGAATCACCCATTCTTGTATCTCACACATGCCCCAGTTAGCAAGTCCTTCCTGATGTCAGTATCCATTGATCCGGCTGCATCCTGGAGAGAGCTTTAGGGTGACTGTGCATGTGGTTGGCAAGGGGTGGGGGATGGGGGGGAAGGAGTTTTCAGATTAAAATAGATTGGAGTTAGGATTTGCTGAGTCACTGGTGGGACATCTTCCTCTCATCACATGGTTCCTGTCCTGCCCATCACATCTGAGTCAACAAAACTCCCTGACAAAGCACATCTGTCCCAATGAGGCAAATTTTCTCAGACCCCTAGTGCTACTTGTATCTTACACAAGAGGAAATGGGCATCTCTAGGGTTTCCCCTTTTTTTTCCCTTCCCCTGTTGTCCTGCTAAACTAACAGTAATAACAGCTCACATTTGTCTATTGCTTTACAATTTATGTTTCACTTCCCTTACAAGTGAAGCATTTTCATGCAATGAAAAGAGCCTCTCCAATCGTGGTTCTGTCTTTGACACCTACTGTGTGTTCCTGAGCCTCAATCTGCTCAGCTGTAAAATGGGACTGATAAAATATACCCCCAGAGGGTTGTTGGGAGGATCAAAGGGAATAATCTGTGTCAGGTGCTTTGTAAATCTTAGCTTGAGAAACATCAGTTATTATCATCATCTGCATTTTACCCCTTAAGGCAGGAAATGAGGGAAGAAAGCAAACATTTATTAATCACCTATTTAGCACACTCACTGTGCTAAGCCCTTAACAAATGTTATCCTCACCACAACCCTGGAGATAGGTGGGGTTGTGATCTCTATTTTATAGTTAAGGAAACTGAGGCAGACAGTTTAGTTGACTTGTCCCAGGTTCATACAGCTAATAAGTGCCTGAGGTCACATTTGACCTCAGGTCTTCCTCACTGTAGACACCATGCCCTCTCTATCATATTACTTAGCTGCCTTTAAGGAAGGAGGTAAAAGTAGATGATCTCCACTTTACAAATGAGGAAACTGAGGCTTCAGGTAATCACCATGCCATACCTATTGCTTGGTCCTACTCTGGCTCCCTATACTTCTACTTCTTTTCCTTATTCTACTTCCCTTGGCACCCCCAGAGCTGATTTCACTATGCAATTCATCTTCCCAGTTTCTAATTGTAGGGAAAATTGAGGCATGAAATTATTTCCTCCTTTAACCTCTCCTGCCATCTCTGCTTCATGAATTTTAAAATCATATTCTGAGAAGGGATAATGGGCTTTAGCAGACTGTCAGAGGGGATCTAAGGCACCAAAAAATATTAAGAACTCCTGATCTAAATGATTTTTATGGTCCATTCCCATTTTATGATTCTAAAACTGGAAGGAGAAAAGCTTCCCTCAATTCATTTGGGAACTTTGATATAGGATATCATAATAGCCAGTCAGTCAATAAATGTTTGTTAAGTACCGACTACATGCCAGGTCAGAAGATGTGCCATGATCAGAAGACTGTAAAAAATGGCTTGATCCTAAGTGAGCTCATTTAATTACATGCTACATGGTGAGGACAACCCTGCTAACTCCACCACAATGCCCAAGGGTTCCCAGGAACCTACTGGTTTTGTGTCAGGAATTGGGATCTTCTCATTTAAGTAGATTGACTTCGGAATTTCTTGGTGCAACCCTGGTGTGTATGGGGAGCTGATGGAGCCATAACTTCTTTGACTTGAATGCCTAGGTTCTTTGTTATCTGGGAGGGATCAGGGAACAGTTACCATGATTAAGGAAAGTATTTAAAATCATCCCCTCCATCCCATCTTCTTCCCTGCCTCCATCTTCTTTTCAAAGCATCACCCCCCTCCCCACCACACACATATCTGCCCAGGTGCCAAAATGACCTCCCACACACACAAATATAGCCTCACCTCTTCTGATCCGCTTTACCTAAAAGAGTGGAGAAACTGAGGCATAGAACTGCCCAGCTGGTTATGTGGCCACACTTAGGATAGGTAAAGCCACAGGTAAGGGGACATTATGTACCCATGGAGAATGATGTATGAGGGATCAGGGACTTCCCAGCGCTCTGGATCCTCAAACTCAAAGTTTTTCCCCTTAATCTTTGTGCCTGTCACCCCACATACCACACACCCTATTCAGCATCACAGAGGAGTCCCCTCAACAGGGACAGGGCACTAGGAGGGATGTATAGCTATAAGGGGAGAGATGAGATCCCAGAATGACTTGAGGTCAGAGACTAATGTGCCCCCACCCCATCCTGACAGTTAAGAATAAAACAGAATTCTTGCCCTATTCCCTCTAGGGTTTACTAGTTTACATAGGAAAATAGGAGAAAACAGAAAAGAAAGTGAATTCCTTTGAGTTCCAAAGACATAGTCCCTAGTCTTGTTTTTAGAAATTGGTGCTGGATCAGAAGACTTGGAGAGATAGTGGAGGATAGAAGGGCTTTGTTTTCTTTAGTCCATGGGGTCATGAAGAGTCAGACACAACTGGACAACAGCCTGGACCAGAGATTCACAAAGCGTCCGGGGTTCAGGTAAGATTCACCAGGAAACAAGAGGAATCCTTTCATGCTCCTTATCCTCCCCCGCCCCATCCCTTCAGGTAACGATGCCCCCATGGGCATGGGTGTAGGACAGAGGTTCTTCAAGACCTAAGATCAATGATGTCAGGACACTCACCATTCACCAGGGAAGACATTGGCACCTTCCTCTCTAAGTCAGATAGGCTCTGGGTCCCAGGCACAGTCAACCAACTCCTTGGCTCTACAGGCAACTGATGTGATGTGTGCCTGTGTGCCCATGTCTCCTCTTTGTACCCACCCTGATCAAGAGTTGGTTGGCTCTCACAAATTCTTTTACATCATCAGTCTGAACACACATACACATATTGTGAAACTACAAGAAGGCAGAAGTGACTTCCCCTGGAGCGGAAACCAGAGTGGTCACTCATGTTTGGTTTTTCAGCCCATTCTCCCATCCACTACAACCTTTGTCCCAGAGCTGTAAGTAGCTATTTCTGAAACAATATACCACTGCATGGTCCTTTATGACGACAGGGGGCATTTGGGGTAGTAGATGCATATTTTCTCTGTTGTTGGGTTGTTGGGTTTTTTTCCCCTAGGCCCTCAGCTTGTCACCAGAGGCTACCTTGTTTCACCTTTGTTAAAGTTCTGTTCCTTTTCTTTCTTTTTTTCTTTATTTCTGTCTTCCTTCTCTCCTCTCCTTCCTCCCTTTCCTTCTTTCTTTCTAGCTTCCTTTCTTTTCCTTTCTTCTTTTCTTTTCCTTTCTTTCTCTTCCTTTATTTTCTCTATTTCTCTTTTCCTTTTTAAATTGAATTGAATTTTGTTCAGTGAACAAAAATCTGTTTTCTCTCTCTTTCACTAGTTCCCCTTTGTGGGGGTGGGGGAATGTTTGTAACAAATATGCATAATCAAGCCAAACAAATTCTCACTTTGATCATGTCCAAAAATATGTCTCAGTCTGCACCCTGAGTTCATGATCTCTGTCAAGAGCTTCATCATTGGTCCTCTAGAATCTTGGCTGCTCATTGCATTGATCAGAATTCTTAAGTCTTTCAAAGTTATTTGTCTTTACACTGCTGTTATATACGTTGTTCTAGTTCTGCTCACTGAACTCTGCATCAGTTCATACAAGTATTCCCAGGTTTCTCTGAAACTATCCCCTTTATAATTTCTTATAGCACAATAGTATTCTCTCTCTCTCTCTCTCTCTCTCTCTCTCTCTCTCTCTCTCTCTCTCTCTCTCTCTTTCTCCTTCCTTCCTTCTCTCTTCTTTTCTCTTTCTTCTCTCTTTCTTTCTCCCTTTCCCCCATCTCTTCCTCCTCTTCTTAAAAATGTATTACTTTTTAAATTCCACATTATTTTCATTTCTGAATATACCTCTTTCCTCACCTGCCCACCAAGCCATCCCCTGTAACAAATAAGTTAAATTTTTTTTCTTTTTAAAAATTGTATTGATGCCTTTTTTTTCCCTTAAATACCAGTCATTTCTGGATATAAACCTTCCCCTTTCCCTCCATACCTGCACATCGTCATGCCTATAATAAAAGCAATTAAACAAAACCAGCCCCCAGCAGAACCAGTCCTTCTGACACATTTGTGATATTACTGCCTCCTCCCCCACCATTTCCACAGAAAGAGAATATGGTTCAACATTTGTTCTCTAGGACCAAAATGCTTTGCTCTCTTTTTTAGCACTTTCCCCTCCATTTCCCAAGTTAGTTCTGGTTTAAGATAGACTTCCTGTATTTGGCAACTACTTAAGATCATGGGATTCACCCACTGTCCTCCTATTTGGGAAAGGAGAAAACTGAGGGCTTAAAAAGGAAGGAAGTAATGAGTACCTTAGTCATGAAGCAAATTTGTGACACAGTCAGGGTGAGAACCCAGGTTTCCTGACTCCCTACCCAATAAAACCTGGGTCCTCTTTCCCATTCTATCACCAGCTTGTTGTGTGACCATGGCTAAGTCACAACCACTCTGGGCCTCCTTACTTGTAAAAGGGACTAGATCTAGGTGATTTCTTCTAGTGCTAATATCCGGTAAGTCTATAAACTAGGAAGAGGAGGAGGGCAAAGACATGGGTCCAGGAGAGAAGGGTCAGGGAATAGGTACTGGCTCATTTTCCATCTGCCTCTGCCTCTTTTTCCTCCACTTGGAATTCTCTATTAGAAAAAGTGTATGGAGATGGGAGTAAGAATGGGAGAGGGATTTCTTAAAATAACAAGCAGTGAGGCAGTATTTATTAGATTCTAGGAAAATACTTCCTAGTCACCTCCTCTCCAGAATCCACTTCCAACTAGGGCTCAAGGCCCCACCCCTGTGACCTTGGATTCAGATCAGTGACATTCCCCATATATTTTGCTGCAGATACACTACTGGCCACCATCATTAAATGCTGCCCTTGGCTTCACCTTCTTATCTCTAGCCCTGAGAACAGTAAAGAATCCACACTACCATACAGGAAAGGACATGTCAATCATTTACTTTACAACTCCATCTGCCTTCCCCATTCAGAACACCTTGCCCTGGCCACCATTCCCCTACAAATGTTGTCTTCCCCTAAATTCTAGAGCCAGGAAAAACAATATATACGATAACAACTTGGTAAAAGTAAACAACATTCAAAGACAAAAACACTAACTCAGTAACCACCTATGAGTACAGAGGACCACGGGTGGATGAAGTATGCTACCCACCTCCAGGCAGAAAGGTGATGGATTTAAGGTACTCAAAGATATTTTTTGGACATGGCCAATGGGAATTTATTTTGCTTGACCATGTATATTTTCCCCCCAGTTTGGGGAGAAAGAGAAAATAGACTTTTGGTAATGGAAAAATAAAATAAATTTTAAAAATGTTTCCTAAGGACAAAGACTATCTTGTTTGCTTGTATTTGTACCCCCAGCTCTTAGTATAGTGCCTGGTATATAATGAGTGCTCAATAAATGCTTTTTCATTCATTCATTCATTAAAGCTTCATCAGACCTTAAAGATTATCTTTAAAGATCCCACCTAAAGCATAGGCAGCTTTTTTCCAGATATGGTCCGTTCCCAAACTCCTCCTCCTCCCCTTTAAAAAATTATGCCCTTGGCTCTCTCTGACCAGAAACTCACTCTCTTGGATATCTGTTCCTTTGGCTCTATCTTTAAATCTTTTAAAATGTAAATAGCTCTGAGAGAAGTATTAACCCATTAAGGTAAAGCGTCATTGGTGCCAGTGTTTTGTTTTGGTTTTTTGCAGTACTTTGAAAAAATACTATATTTTTCCCAATTGCGTGTAAAAACAATTTTTAACATTCATTTTTTAGAATTTCGAGTTCCAAATTCTCTCCCTTTCTTCCTCCCTTCCCTCCCACCTCCCTGAGATAGTAAGCAATTTGATAGAGGTTACACATGTGCAATTGTGCGAAACATATTTCCATATTAGTCATGTTGTGAAAGAAAACACAGACAAAAAAAAACCCACAAAAAATTCAAAAAGTGAAAAGTAGTGTGCTTCAATCTGCATTCAGACTCCATCAGTTCTTCCTCTGGAGGTGAATAGCATTTTTCATCATGAGTCCTTTGGAATTGTCTTGGATCATTGTATTGCTGAGAATAGCTAAGTCATTCACAACTGAGTATCATACAATGTTGCTATTACTGTGTACAATGTTCTCCTGGCTCTGCTCACTTCACTTTGCATCAGTTCATGTAAATCTTTCTAGGTTTTTGTGAGAGCATCCTGCTCTTATAGTACAATTGTATTCCATTTCAATCATATACTACAACTTGTTCAGCCATTCCCCAATTGATGTACATCTCCTCAATTTCCAATTTTTTGTCAGCGCAGAAAGAACTGCTATAAATATTTTCATATGGATAGGTCCTTCTCCCCTCCCCCGCCCCCTGTATCCCCTGTTTGGGATACAGACCCAGCAGTGGTATTGCTGAATCAAATTGCCTAGTTTATAGCCCTTTGTGCGTAGTTCCAAATTGCTCTCCAGAATGGTTGGATCAGTGCACAGCTTCACCAATAGTGCATTAGTGTTCTAGTTTTCCCACATCCCCTCCAACATTTATTATTTTCCTTTTTTTTGTTATATTAGCCAATCTAATAGGTATAAGGTAATGCTTCAGAATTATTTTAATTTGTATTTCTCTAATCAACAGTGATTTAGACAATTTTTTCATATGACTATAGATAGCTTTGATTACTTCATTTGAAAACTGCCTATTCGTATCTTTTGGGGAATGACTTGTATTTTTATAAATTTGACCCAATTGTCTGTATATTTGAGAAATAAGGCCTTTATCAGAGATACTTGTAAAGATGGTTCCCCAGCTTTCTGCTTTCCTTCTAATCTCAGTTGCATTTGGTTTTGTCCAGGCAAAACCTTTTTAATTTAATATAATCAAAATTATCCAATTTACATCTCGTAATGTTCTCGATCTCTGTCATAAATTCTTCCCTTATCCATATATCTTATAGGTAAATTATTCCATGCTCCTCTAATTTGCTTGTGGTATCACCCGTTATGTCTTAATCATGTACCCATTTTGACCTTATCTTGGTATAAGGTATAAGGGGTTGGTCTCTACCTAGCCTCTGCCATACTGTTTTCCAGTTTCCCCAGAGTTTTTGTCAAATAGTGAGTTCTTGTTCCAAAACCTTGGGTCTTTGGGTTTATCAAATAATAGACTACTATGTACTATGTATCTATTCTATCCCACCAATCTACCACACTATTTATTAGCCAGGACAGTTGCTTTTTACTAATGTGCCCTGCATTTTTTTTTTTAGTTCTGGTCTTTGATAATCTTATCTAATAATAACGATCATGATAATGGCTAACATTTCCATAATGCTTCAAGATTTGGAAAGAGCTTTATAAATATCATCTCATTTTATCCTCAAAACAGCTCTGGAATGTGGGTTCTATTGTTATCCTGATTTTACATATGAGAAAACTGACACAGACATAGATTAATCTACTTGCACAGGGTCACAGAGTTAATAAATGTCAGGGGCTGGATTTGAACTCAGGTCTTCCTGACTCCAGATCTTGAACTCTATCCATCACACCAGCTACCTACCACTCTGGCAGAGAGAGGAGTATTAGGGGAATTATCATAGAACCCTTCTCCTTATGTGGTGGGAGTGGAGGGTGTACAGGGCAAAGGGTCACAGATATATCCAGGTCTACCTACCCGAAATCTTGTTACTCATCCCACACCTGTCTACCTTTCTCTACTCTGGGCCATAGGAGCACTTTGTCCCCCCTTTAATGCCCTCCTCCATAATCCATACCTTGGACAAATTCTTTCCCCTCTTGGTCTTCAGTTTCCTTATCTGTCAA